TGGCCAGTTCATGTGCATATCATACTCATTTTATCTCAATCAGACAGGCATAACATGTAGGGGGAAATACTTTTATTCCCATCTGTTATAATAGCAAAGATGTGTCTTTGTGACATTTTAATATTATTTGTAATTGCATATAATAAACCAAAAAGCATCTTTCTTCTAAAGTATAATTATCAGTGACAATAATGTAACTATAGGGGATACTATATGTAGTACTACTTATTTCTTGATGTTAGACAGTATCTGTTTATGTCTTTATTTGGGCTGCCAGTTTGTGGAAACTAGGTTGTAATAACCATATAAAACAAGGTTATTACACTCTGGTTTCCAAATAATCTGGAACTCCCATTTATTATTCAAATTTCAAGTGAGGATGTAATACATTGAACCAAGCCTGCAAGCATGTAAAATCAATGGCAATGATGCTTTGTGTCATACAATGTACAGCTGTAGAGCCCTAGGGTGTGAACATTAAAATGCAAACTTTACATGCCCCTCTGCCATACTAGTGTGTATAATTACTGTATGTTTTCTGCCAAATCAATGTGTTTTTTTTTTTTGTTTTAATGATGCAGAAAAAAAAGGTGAAAGTGTCTGATCAAATATTTATCTGATTACATGTGGCCGATTGTATTAAATGTGTTATTGTTAATCAAAAAACCAAACAAATAGAGCGCCTAAGAACGAGGAACAAAGACTCCAAATTTTGCTCCAAAAATTGCATCAAACGATGAATCACTTCAAAACAAACACTAAACAGAAACACGTTGCGTTGTTGTCGTACAATATTTAGCACGACACTGACAGCGATTAATATTCATGAGGCTGCGACTTTGCAGACCCTCAGGATAGTTAAATTAATTATGCTAACAGGGTCATTTAACTGCTTTATTCAAAGCAAAGCAATTCTCGTGCAATAAGTGACACAATAATTACACACAATCTAACGAGAGGACAGTGACAAGTGGAGGAGCGACACGCTCATCTTCATAAAGTACAAAGAAGACATTTACACAGCAGCGCAAAACAAACACAAAACAGAAGTAAAATCCATACAGGCGAGATGAAAGAATAACTAAAGCCGGCTAACAGTTTTACATCCACGGCAGCACTTTCTCTCTCTCAGAGTAGTAAATTTGATTTGTTACTATGTGTTATTATTTGGAATTATTCATTTTCTCTGTCAGTGCACATTGAGGGGTAATAGAAATGCCAGCAAGGTGGCTGATTTACTTATTAAAATTTTCATCTCAAGGCTTGAGAGGCATGATTGGAGTCTGTAAGAGTAACGGGAAATCATGCATTATGTAGGCGAATTTGACACGACCTTGAGACTTCTGAGCGCAGACCATATATTACCATCAGAGCGACCTTCCCATCCCGAAGATACATCTGATGTGTTTAAGGCTGTTTTACAATGCATTAGGAGGGCTTTACATGTGCTGAGCTCACTTTATTTGCTCATACATTTCACAGGAAGAGTTTAGTGTCAGGCTGATGGGGACCGTTCACAGTGACTGAGTCACTTGTCGAGACAAATGAGCCTGCGGAAACAGGCCGAGGCGCTGGATAATAAGCATTTCAAAGCAAATTCCCGCTTTCCCACTTTTACTTCCCTCCAATATACAGCACATTTACTATTCAGTGAACCCATGTGGATTCCAGCTCATCAAGTATTCACGCTTACTGCGATTGATTGACCTGCATCTTGAAGACAGAATAGATATGATTTTTTCCCACCAAGCTATGGGGCGTCAGGATCAATATTCTCACTGTTGGTTAAGCTTTTGCAACCTTTAAAATATCAGCTCCAATCGATCTCTCTCACATAATTGCCTACATTTTCAAATCAAGTCTCCCACCCCCCACCCCCCGTTTTGTACACGCCAATGACATTTGAAATGCCTCACAGTCCTGCCACACGACCTGTCGGAGTACCTAAGCTAAAGGGCACAAAACACATTTATTAGCATATTACATTTATTGCTCTGTCCACCTTGTTCTACTTTTCACCCCTGTGCTATAAACATGTGAGAGAGCAAGGCCATGTTATATTTCCATATAAAAAGCCCCATAATTATGGGGGGATGGTTGTTCCCCTTATCAGAGGAAATGATAAGGGAGTACCAGGCCCTTTGAAAGAACGGGGTCCATTTTGATATAATTGGCAGTGGAATTATTTATGACATTAATTGCCACATTATCGACTGGCTGTCAGCTCCTGTGTCAGTCTGTCCATCTTTCTTAGCAGAAAGAGCCAGCTCAGCCTGGTGCCCACTGACAAGCTAATTACTACAGCACAACCCTGAGTGACAAATGTTACTCATCTAAGACCGGGCCCGGAAATAAGGGCCACTCTCCCACCCCCCCCTCTTTCAGCTCCTCTGGATCAAGTGAGACAGCAGTGTGCTGCCAGATGTCTTCAGTAGCAGGAGGGAAGGGGTTTGCATGTCAGACACAGACAGAGAAAAAGTGGGGTAGGAAAGGAAAAAGGGGGGAAAGAGATTTCTAGAGCCAGGAGGACAGTTAAATCTAAATCTCGCCCCATCCTGTCTGCTGCTCTATCAGTGGCTACTTGTCACTCATACAGACAAGTCCTTTTTCCTTCCTCCGCCTCCTTGTAAATTTGCATTAGCTCATGCCAATCAGTCATCAGGCTGTGAGCTGATATCTAGTGATGGGGCGATTGGTCCTTAGTTTTCTTGACAGCAAGTCACACACTCGTGTGCCTTTGGGGAGGAGAATTGCACTGTGCCAACAATGTAGGAAAAATCTGAGCTCATACAATATGCAAATACATTTTAATATACCTACAGTCTGAAAGCCTTCCAATATTGTGCAACAGTTGCTGTAGTTATAGTATTATTGAAGACTGTGCAAAAGGATGAACTTAAATTAAACTTTCTCACATTAAATATGGATACAGGAAGAGCTATCACATCGTCATCTGTATTTTGTGGCTATTAAGAGCACATCAAAACTCAAGCAAAAAGAGCAGTTACTTGGAATACTTATAATAGGCCCAAATCAAGTTTTATTTATTTTTTTTTACAAAATGCACGTGCCGTATTGTTAGTATTAAGGTTTCATTGTGTAACGTTTCATTTCTAGTACAAAAACAGCAAAAATTGTCTACGCAAACTGTGCACAAAGACCCAGGTGATGCTCACGCAGATATGGATTCACATAAAAATATGCACATTCAGAGTTACACTTCCTATGCGTGTGCCTGCGCACAGACACACACATGCACACTGCGGCTAGTAGAGGAGCCTGCAGGGCCAATATAGCAGAATGTCACTGATCTGCTGTGATGAAGTGGCGTGCCATTTGTTCAGCCATGAAGTTCCCAAGGAGCAGCCTCAGTGACGGAGCCGAGGGTCAAGGAGGGCACCGCCTACAGGTAGATCTGTGCCTCATACCTTAATTAATCTACTGTCCGTGATGCCAAGCATCCCATTCATCCCACCGCATGCACAAAGGCACACGTCAAGCATATGTCAACCCAATCTGGCACTCCCTGCCCACCCCATAATGCAGTTTGTGTTGGTGTGGCAGCTCGGGATGCATCCCTGACGAGGATGGGAAGTGACACGCACCAAACTCGGTGTGTCCCCCAGCCAGCTCCGGTGGCTCGGGGCCTGTCAATTCCAGCTCCGTCAGTGGCACTGGCTCAATGGCAGTGCCTGTGACACATGTCACAAAGTTTTAAATGTCTGCTCTTTTCAGCAGGATGGCTGGGCGTGCGCCGCAGCCAGGGGAAGGATGACATTTTGTGTCGTGCGGGGGGAACTTGTTGTGGCTCCCCTCTTCCTGCCTCCTCCGGCTGTCAGCCCCAGTTTCCTCTGAACATATCAAAACACAGACAAATAAACCTTGTCATTTTGAAACGCCAGCACTAGTGACCAGGCTCCTGAACGGCATGTCATCTGGAATATGGTCACACAGTCCTGTTGAAAGTTGTGAAGTGAACGAGCACATACAAGCAAGCAGACACACACACACACACACTATAGTATACTAGTGCAAATGTTTAAGCTAATAGAAATATGAGACGAACTGAAAGAGACACAGTGAACAAACATTGCATCAGGCTATCTCTGACCTTTTCTTCATCCGTTTGTGGATGAGTGACACACTGTACTGAAGCTCAACATGGTTTCTTTCAAGTCCCAAATAAATAAAGCCTCTATCTCATCACTGTGGTTTATTCACCTCCATCACTTCTAAAGTGTAAGTAATCAAGCCTTATGATTTGATGACAGATGAGTTTTGTCAGTCACTGACATCTTTAATAAGCTTTATGCAGGAAGAAAATATCTATGTGATGGACATTTCATCATTAGGAAACAGTTTAAAGTGCCGGCAGAGGGAATTAAATGTGAAAGCACCATAGTACCTTAAACTCCACATCAAATTGACAAGAGACATGTGTTAGTTTAACCCATTTAATTAAATCCTGCTAATACAATTTCACATCAGATCAGATTTATCACATCATTTACATTAAAATTTCAATTTGTTGCCTCAGAAATTTGACCTGCTGCTGTAAGAGGGCATTAAACGGATCAATACAACAATGGTAAGCCACAACAATTATAAAGAGAATAACAAAATGTAAACATTTCTCATGCAGCAACACTGGTTATTACATTGGCTTGGATATTCTGAAAATTGTAAAGCAATAGAAGAGAGCAACATTTCAGACATGAACCTGGAAAGAGCAATCCTATTCTTCATTAAAGCTGGTGCTGGAATGTTTTATTTTTATGATTAAGCTGCATTTCGTTCGGCTTCTTTTGTTTCAAACAAACAAAAATGTGCACACTGTAGAAGAAACTCACCAAATCTTCTCACTTATCAGATTTTTGACTTTCAAGAAGAGATTTTCTCTTTTTTAGACACCAAAAGATCCAAAAGATAAAAATAACCAAATAAAAA